TCTTGCAATGTTTGTGGTAATCTGCCAGCTTTTGCAGCTTCGACTAATAAATGCTTACAACTAACATTCACATAACCTTTATCCTCATTCTTTGACAATACCAGTAAATTCTTCAGCACATCATCTTGCTTCAAAGCCTTGGCAACCTTTGCCAGGTGTGGTGGTGATAGATGGTCAGAAAGATGAGATATGTGAAGGTTCGCACGAATTTGAGAGGGATCCAATGACAATATTATTATATCATCTTTAATTCGCATTACTCTTCCCTTCACAAGCTACGGGAAAAATAAACAAATATACGTAAATGTCCCTTATAAACAATTTAATTAAAGGAATTTAACTACCTCGCCTATTTTAATTCCACTGAGATCCGTGTTTACAGGATCATTGATTCTGAAGGTTGCCAACATCGCCTTCTTTTCCCGGACGACTGACTTAATACGACAGTTAACAATTTGACCTACTGAAAAATGCTCCTTAAGGTTTTGACTAACACCGTCTCCACACTGATCTGCCGGCACAAACGCGTGAACGTCACCAAAAAAAGAAACGTAACATCCTCGTCCAATCACGCCCGTTATAACACCATACGTGATCATACCAATTTCCACGTCTTGATATGATTTAATTATTGGTCGTTCGACGTCCAGAAACGAATTTCTCAGCGTAACATTAATTTTGTGTTCTATTTCATTTACCTCAACGTTAAGAACACGACATCTAACGAATTGACCCGGTTTATATTTATGCCCCGAATACTTTTGAACCACATCATCAATGTGAATTTGTGATGCAAAAGCATTTATATTGTCCGAAATTGTAACAAAAATTCCATTGTCAATAACTTTTTGAATTGTGCCCTAAAAAAATGAATTATTTTTTTTTTTAAAAAAAAAATCTCTACTAAAATAATCACGATTACAAATTTTACCTCTACAATATCTCCAATTTGAACATCTTCATATCTCATATACCTCTGACTAAGCACTGAATTTTGCAAGGATAATAGCAGAAGACCATCTACTGCTGAATAGCCAATTACGCGAGCACGATGTGTCGAATCAATAGCATAATCAGTCAAAGAATTGACACGGCTATCAGAAACGCGCGAAACCTTACATACAGAAATGAATGTTAATTATAATATGCACGTATTGACATAATACACATTAGACATTACATACATGAGTATATCCCGTTATGTTTGAATCGTTAATCTTCATTATTAATCCAAAATTCCTTAAAACTCTCTTAATGGTGACAGTCTCAAAAATCGTTCCGATCGGAAAAGCATTATTTTCTAAATATTCTAGACGTAGAATATGCGGAGCGAGTGATAATCTGAATTTTTTCTCCTCGTTTGTAATTGATACAAAAATAATCCTAGCCCGAATCTCGTCACCGACATTAAGATTTTGGTTCTCTGATAAGACGTTTCCAGAATGAAATATATCGATTTCACAACCTATACCATTTAAGTTGCACAGAATACCATTCTTAAGGACATTGTCCACACGTGCTTTGACCAAATTTCCCGGAACTAAAACGTTAACATTGCGTAAAGCTTTATCTGACAATACAGAATTTTCAACAATCTCCGGGTCTGCTGTAAAATGGACCACACGATGTTTGTCCGGAACACTTAGAACACTAACATTTAGCAATTGACCAACAGAAAGGGACAGACCACCATTAAATTTATCCTCATAATTTTTCGCATCTTTGTTGTGTAAGAATCCAGTGATACCATTCATTCCAATAGAAAGAATATAGCCATGATCCTCCACACT